AATTCCTATGAAATTCTAGGGAATATAGTAATCTTATAGCAAATTTATACAATTAATATAATATAATATAATGATACTACAAACGTTTTATAGTATTTAAGATTACTACAAAATATTTCAGGTATTAATAAAAGATATTATACATTTTTCAAGGAACACTCATTTTAAAAAAAGGTTTTTGGTGTAAAGAACATCTTTTGGTTCCCCAAAGAACCTTTCTATGTGCTTTTTTTACGAATAACTTCCACATAATGTAAAAGTTCTATGCCAGTCAACGGTTTCTCCTAAAACCATATAGAACATATAGAAGACTCTTGGAGTGAAGAACCACCATTTTTTTAAATGAGATGTGAATGTAAACTTATTAAAACCTGCAAGAATCTCCTCATTATATACAGCTCCTTTATCAATTAAACGTTTCTCCTCAAACTGTACATCCAAGCCAGATTCATAACACTATAGAAATCTTATAGTTTCTATTGTATTATTACAGTTTTATACACATCTGTTTATTAAACTCTGATGTGTTTCTTTACTGGTCTACATAGTTTCTATAATAAGAGGCTCCATAAAATAACACAGGAGGCCTGGAGAGACTCACAATCCCCCTTGTTTCATTAGAGAATCTCCATAGACCATTAGCTTTGACGCTGTTCTACTTAATGCTCAGAACAAGCATACAAATTTGAGCCATTCACCACAATTCTCTGAAATCAGAGTTAGTAACAATACTATGTGATAAAACGTGCCTCCATTCTTTACAATAATGTTAGAAATGCAGCTGTAAACAAGGTAAACTGAGTAAGATACACTTGATTAGTCACTTCCAACCATATTCAAATCACATTTCTCTTTAATGCAAAGACTATTTACTCTTTTGCTCTTTTTCGTCCTCCTTTAGAAAATAGTTCTGCTCATTTTCCCCTCATTGTTCACATATCTTTCTACATTCATCCACCTGTAATTGTTAATATGGGCTGTGGCATTAAAACTGTGATTCCCTATTTTACAGGGCAGTTCCAAATAACATCATGTCATTTCATGACTTAAACAGATATATATATATGTATGCACACTTTCTACAATGTCATCTATCAATAATTACAATTCATACTATGCCTATTAATAATGGTTGACTTAAGCTATTATTATTATTATTATTATTATTATTATTATTATGTCTATTAAAAAAAAGGACTCTAAATTATAACCTAATAGGCACCAATGGATGGTTGAGCTAACTTTTGAGAAAAATACCTTGGCCTGAAAAGCAGGCAATAGAAATGCTTTATAAAATTAGTCACCTGATATATAATCCTCCTTTCTGTAGCTTATGTAATATTATGTCCCTTTAATTTTACTGTTCTACAGACTGCAGACAAGTTTAGACTCAAATTCAAACATGAGTTGACAACATTCAAAGACATTTACACTATTAAATACAAAATGTTCTGTAATTACAATGTGATTACTATTTAATAACTTAGTAATGAGATTGAGAGTCATTACTTAGTAGATAATTTTGTGATTACTTGAATGCTGGGTAGCTGTGATGTAGTAAAGTGGTCAGTGATGGGCTATGAAGTTGTCTATTGATTACACATAAGTGGTTTAATGACTGCAGTCTTGAATGTGAGCACACAGGTGCAGACTGTACAGGTCAGCTGAAGAAGAGAATATGAATGCATGCTTTAGGCAATCTTTGCGTTAAACGCTTTATGGCAGCAATTCACAGAGTGCAGGTGCTGCCGTGGTTGCATGTGCATACTGATATTTCAGAAAGATTAATATGCAGATTAATAAAGGTGGGTGGTCAGCCAAGCAGGCAGGGAAGCAACACTGAGCAGCAGCAGCAGGTAGATCCTGCAGCACCTACTGAAGCTAATAAGAGCGTATTATACATGCCAGTAGAGAATATCACGTGTAGACCAAGGAAGAAATAAGTTCAAAAATAGATAAAGCTTCTGTCATGTTACTTACTTACGATGAATTTCATTTTACTATCATTGTATTTAGTCTTTAAAAATATTAGAACTAACACATTCTTTCCAATTACATTATAACAAACGAGTCATAATGAACGTAGAAAACAAAAAGGGGGCCAATCACCGCCCTGCACTGAAAAATAATAAATAAATAAGGTTATTTATATGCATTATGTGCACTTTCTTATTGCTAATGTACACTTACAATTGAGCATTTTAGAGTTTTAGCTTTTATGACATTTAATTAACTTCTAGAAAACTTCACGTTTAGAATGTCTGAACGTTCATGTACTTTTTTACGTGTTTATTTACGCAGTTTTCTGTGACGTGTTGATTGTTAATTATCTTAATTACTTCGTAAAAATAAGCTTTAAAGGATACAAAAAAGATACTGGATGGCATCGTCCAGATTAAAAACAAGCTCAAGTTAAAATGACATATTTAAACGTAAATGGACTTCCTGGCTGGCAATAAGGAACATAGTACTGTTTAAGGTTAAAATACTGAATAAGAGCGAAATAAACAAGTAAACAAATAAAGAAAATAAAGAAATAAAAAAAAAGAATTTTATTCTGTATTTTATTCTATTTCAAATTTCAAGTGTATCGCAAAATCGTTCAAATCAAGTCTCATCTATTCGTATTAAAAAGAAAAAATATCACCACTTTAAGCCAAACGAAGAAGGCTTTACATGGCAAAGATAAGTAAATCGGAGGACAGTGTTATAGTCTTATAGTTACACAGCAGTGGTTTTATTTGTACCTGTTCAGTGTTTTGTGCGATACTAGCAGCGAAAATTTGACGTGAAAATGCCTTTAAACTGAGGTTGAAGGTTAAGAAGGTGATGAAAAAGGCTGGATGTCAAAGTCATTAATGAGGACATACACCTACACAGGAAACAGCAACGCACGTGTTTACTTTGACAATCAGATTTTGGTAAAATCTAGTATTAATTTCAGAGACGCTCAAAATCTTACTGTTTTTTTTTTTATTTATTCATTAATGGGAAAACAAGATAAAAGTTCAGCCACCTCATTACATTAAAGTGCTGGGATAAAATGTATTAATTTTTAAATATGATCTCAATAGAGTTTACAAATGACTTTGTTTTAAACATAAACATCTGCAGACTTCCAGTTTGACACAAAAAACAAGGTTTTGCTATAACATCATGTAATAAGCAGCAATGTAAGTATAGAATTAAATGCTCACGACGTAAAACCAAAAAGAATACTAGTGATAAAGACGCAGTATTTAGTAGCTCGATTTATGGAGCCAAATGCGTGCATTACATATAATGTGGGTGAGCATGAAGGAGAAGGAAAGTCTTTTTTTACTTCAGCTGGTGGTCGGGCTGCAGATGTGCGCACTAAACATGTCTGCATTTACGTCTGCGTATTCATACCGGTTTTCATAGAAATGTGGAAATATCTCATTTTCTTTTTTTATGTTTTTTTCTGGGTCGTTATTCACAAAACAATAGCATGCAATACTGAACTGGCCTCCACTGGCTTTGCTTAGTTTAAAAACTAAAAAAAGAGGCTGACATAAGCGTGTTCACTGCTGCTAAATCTGCAGTGTGTTGCTAATTTGATTTTTTTTTTTTAGCGAATTTACTATTCAGTATTTTCCCCTCACGAAGGGCTGCATCTCTGCACGAGGGACAAGATCTCTTCTGAGCTTTCACTCAACATTTCCTGCGAGTTTTATAAATACAACCCCGATTCTACATGATTCATTCACAATACAAATCGCAAACAGAGAAAACAAATTTGCTTGAAAAATGTGCCTCAATTAAATTTCCCCCAACCTACAAATGTAGAATTACGTCACATGCTACAGCAGCAAGATCTTTCAGAAGACATTCCAAAGGTTTTCATTTCATCTTCTTAATCAGGAGAAGAAATTAAGCAAATTTAGTGTCCATAATTACTAAAGAGGCGTATTTTCACTGGCTTTGCTTGACCTGGTTGTGGGTTTGAAATGTTCCGCTAGGAGCGGCTCTTAAACTCATTACATTTTGAATCTGCCGCGCTGATCGTGGAACAGCGGGCCTTCGCCAACCAGTGTCATTTTCTTTCCCACCCGTTTTCAGGCAACCCCGCCCTCCTGCGCTGGGATTGGCTAGGAGCTAGTTCTGAAACGCTGGCCGTTCGAAGAGCGAGTACGATCTACTAGCCAATCCCGGCACAGAAGAAGGGACGCCAGCAGCCAATCTCAGTGCAGTAGGGCGTGGCTTGTCGGAATACGAGTGGGGGGAAAATCGAGGCTCGAGAATCTCTTTAAGCGCGCTCATGAGCGCGGAATTAGAAAAGCTCAGCTTGTCTGTTTTGGGTGAGATCACTGACTGGGTAGAATGTGAGATTTTTAAAGGAGAGTGACGACAAACTGAGGAGGAATCAGAATTTTACAGGTCATAACATTCAAGACACCCGAGCGGTTTGGCACTTGGTAACGGAGCACTCGGAGCAGTTGAATAACAAATATATATATATATATAATATATATATATATATATATGTGTGTGTGTGTGTGTGTGTGTACATATATATATATATATGTTCGGCCCTATTGATGCTGCTCTCCATATAGTGTTTTCTGCCAGGCTGCCATTAAATAAATAAATAAATAAATAAATAACATGGAAATGAAAACGAACGCACTGCCTAGTTACTTTGAGAAGACACTGTTCGAGCACTGTTGTGAATTAAAGCGGTGATCCAGCGAGGCCTTTTCCGATGAATCAGTTGAGTCAATGTTGTTTGAATCTTGAATCTTTCTGGTTCTCAGGTTTTCCGATTTTTCTGAAATATTCCATCTTGCTCACGATTGATGGGTCGCTCTCTCCCTCCTCCCTCCCTCCCTCTCCCCCTCCCTCCTCCCCCCTCTCTCCCACCCTCTCTCTCTCTCTCTCTCTCTCTCTATCCTCCTCCCCTCTCGCTTTCTATTTCATTCCCTCGCGCGCTCACCCAGTCAGTCTCTCTCTCTCTCTCTTTCTTTCTCTCCCTCTCTTTCTTTCTCTCCCTCTCTCTTTCTCGCTGCCTCGCTTCCAGAAACGGACGTAAATCGACGGAAAAGAGAAACGAAGTAAAGAAGAAGTTGGAAGCGAAAGCTCGGAGGAGCCGAACCCGCAGGCTTTCTGCACTGGTGCGGGAGTTGCGCGCTGCAATCACGGATCCTTCAGCCACGCAGGACACGGTGAGCTCCACTGCGCTCCACTCTCTGCTTTAGCGCGCGCCCACTTTCAGCGACAGTACTGAGTACTGAGCGTCTGCACGTCTTTACAGCGCTAACATTGTAAATAGCGCTACTGTTGATGTTGTTCATTTATTCCTATTCCGTACAGGCAGTAATTACTCTGTCAAAAGCAGCTATTTCGTAAGTGTCACTCCTTTTTTTTGGATGTGAGGTCTTCTGCATGAAAAAACAAACAAATAAACAAACGAGCACACTAGCATACTAGCTAGTTATTTTAGGGCTGACATGAAAATTAGAATACGGTAGTAAATGAACACTAACACAGCGAAGCCCCGCCGAACACACTGTTCTTACTGCTGAATTACACTGAATAACACTTCACTCGGCCTTGTAAGTAAAAACAATGGACGCCTGAACGGAAACGCGCCAGAACTGCAAGTTTTAGCCGCTGTAATGAAACCGCGCTCGTGCGCAGTAATAAGGCCTGCTGGACCTGCTGGACCCTCTGGTAGCTCCGGACCTTTCTTTCCTCCAGGCCTGCTCTGAGTGAGTGATGTGCAGGGAATCCGCTCCGCCAGCCGGTATTCTCATGCTAATGAGGAACAGCTCGCTGTTGAACTTGATGTTGACTTCTTTCTTTGGGGCTAATTTTTCTCGGTCACTTGTTTGTGGGAAGATTTTTTTTCTCAGGCCTCTTTCAGATACGTTTTTTTTTTTGAGAGGGGAACAAAAGAAATAGACGGATTGTGACCGAGCCGAGGGTTTTTATGGTCTTGTTGGAGACTTTTATTGCTGAATAGAAATGATTTTTAAGTAATGTGATTTTGTTTGAGAAATGTTATTTTAGTTTAAATATATAATAAAAAATGTGATTTACATAATGCAATACTTTAATGCATTATTGTATAAGTTGGATGCGTCAGTGAATGTATTGAATACGGCTCTACATCATGTTTTGTCTGTAAGATGTTCCTACACTTATTTTTAAAGATTATGTTGGAAGTTTTGCTTAATTTGATTTTGTACCCCTAAATGAGCCCTAAAGAGCAACAGGTGCTAAAAGACAAAAGGCCCCAAAACTCGTGTGCGCAAAACTACACTAAAACAAAAACAGACACAACATTTTTAGGTGCATTTTTTAGTAAAATGTATCCACCGTTTTTTAGTGTTTTGCTTCATTAAAGCCTGCTTCAGTTACAGAAATATAATATATAAAAATTGCATAATATCAGGCTGCATAAGTAAAACTAACTAAAGAAAGAAAGAAAAAGAAAGAAAGAAAGAAAGAAATACCTTTACGTAATTTCAAAATTGAGATTCCAGGTTCTTTTGGCTCTTGAAAATGTGTAACACACACACACACTCACTCACTCACACTCTTACTCATACTCATACACATACACACACACACACACACACACACACACACACATACACACACACACACACACACACACACACTCAGACACACTCATCATTTAAAGATAAACCGTTAAGGAGCTTTTCAGAGGTAGACTGCAGTCTCGCGCTGCTCTATCTGTATTTCTGCGTATTAATGTTCTCCTCTTATCAGATTTCGCGCGCGCAGTTCTTATCCTCTGATCTCCTCTCTGATGGTGTGCAAGATGGGCTGATAAGCTGCTGTAATGTGAAGGTGTGTTCATATGTTTTCGGCTTCAGCACCGAGGACAGCGCTCGAGCTCCAGAAGCAGCTTAACGCATCTCCGCCAAGCCCACCGTGTGGCCCACCTCACTGCGTTCTGTTTCAGCTGATTAGGTTTGATTTTTTTAGATTTAAATTGATCAGTACACTGTAATGTGCACGTTCAATGAGCAGGTCAGGAATTATTTACACACATTTACAAAACAATGGCTTTTTTTGGGAAATCTACTTCTTCCATTTCTAATTAATGCACGTCACGGGAATCAACAGGTAGAGGATTATTATTATGATTATTATGATTATTATTATTATTATTATTATTACTGAAATATTTCTACACTGGAAGGCAATACAAGAAATGTGCATGGCACATGAGAAGAACCATCGAAGAGTCTAGAACTTAGTTTTTTTCCTATATTTCTTACAAAAACTCAGTGAAGTCTGTAAATAAATCTATAAATACAGTTGGAAATTTTCTCAGATACAAGTCTCGGTCTCGGCTATAGGACACTATTCTACACCGTTTAGATTTTACAACTACCGTTTTTTTTTCTTTTTTTCTGAACTCTCTTAAAGTGCCTCACATTTCAGACATTAATAATACACTCAGTGAAATCATAACCTGAACATATCCGGCTATAAACAACTTTACTGAAGATATTTGGTCATTTTACCGTAAAATACACTTCACATCACAACTGGTTCTATGGTGGAAATTAAGTGTTTGTGTTAATAACTGTGTATTAATGGTTAAATATATTAACAGTGACAAAGATATAACAGGTTCAAAAGTAAAAAAACAAACAAACAAAAAAAAAGATAAAATAACGCTGTAAAGCAGCTATCCTTAAAATATCATCTGCTTTATATTTCGCTCGTGATTAAAAACGAATTTCAACCTAAATAAATTTCAAACATGAAAAGAATGAAAATAAATAAAAAATCTGTGTAACCCATCAGTGTCATTGGAATATTCCACATAATACACACTCTACTGTGTAATATACCTCGCACACACACACACACACACACACCACACACACACACACACACGTACGTCAAAATGATAATACTTTTTTCTACAGAAATAAATGTATATTGTATATTGTATATTGTACAGAACTCTCTTCATTCCAAAAAACTGTTTAAAATAATTTAGGCTTCATATTTAAAAACTGAAAAAGTAAGTTAATGATTTATTTAATCGAGGAAAAGTAAGATTACGTGGGAATGATAAGCTGTAGTGTTACAGTAAGCTTAAAAATATATTTCAGTGCTTTAAAGAATCATTAATAAACTCACTGGTTTACAGCTTCCGCTTTATTACACTGTGTAGGTATATATGGTATATGCAGGGGGTATACATTGAGTACATACGGAGTGCATATGGAGTATGTATGAAGTATATATGGAGTATGCAGGAGGTTTACATGGCGTACATATTGGATAAATATCAGATATTTAAATATAATGCTTTAAATATAATGCTGATTTTATCCTCTGCACGTGCCTTTTCTGCGTTCTAGCCCAGCCTGGTGCTTATTCCATAAAACAAATACACTTTTAGACGTTTTAAAGACGCGCATGGTCGCCCGAAAATAAAAACGCGCGTGCGTTGTTTGCTCTTTTGCAGAAACGTATTATAAATATGTCACAAATAGTAAGCAAGGCCTGCGTGGCCTACAGTATGACTGTCACTGTGTGCTGATGGGCACCACACACCCCCCTCGCGCGTTCTGTGGTTCATTCCGTTTTGTAAATCAGACGTAAGCAGCCGAGGAAGATTGCATTGTGGGTAAAAGCCTACGAGCATGCTTATGAATGCATGTGAGCATGTGTGTGTGATGCGTTTGTCAGTTGATGTAGAGGAAAAGAACAATTTAGTTTAGCTTGAAAGGCCTAAAATACACATCATATTTTCATACTGATATCATATCACTATCAAAATCAGTGCATATTAAACTCAATCACGACCAACAGTAATAGGACCACTTCTTAACAGTAGCTTATATATATATATATATATATATATATATATATATATATATATATATATATATATGTACACCTAAAAAGATGGTTCTTCAAGGGTTCTTTAGTAAAGGGAATGGTTTTATTTAGAACCACGGGTTCTGTATAGAACCATTTCATGTTTGCATGGTGAAATTCAGTTCTACAGATTGATGGAGAATTTTTGAAAATGGTTCTATATAGCACCAAAAAGAGTTCTGCTGTTGTTAGAATGTCAAGCTTGTAACAATAGAGGAACCTTTATGGTGCTATATAGAACCCATTCTCCATCAATCTGAAGAACCATTTCACCATGCAAAAAAAAACATTTAAGCATGACATAGCTCTGTACAGAACTCTGGTTCTAAAGAAAACAATTGGCTTTACTAAAGAACCCTTGAAGAACCATCTTTTTTAGGCGTGTAACAGCAATTAAGGTCCAGTGTCAGGTTCTGGAAGGATGGCATGCACGTATATTAGGCTTATGGTGCTGAAACATCACGCCTATGCTGAACACCACATGCTCATATAGGCGCACTGATTTTCCATAGCGCCCTCACTGTACTAATTTCATTGTCATGATAATCACCAGCGTTCAACACGATTTCTCACGCGCCTCCAGAGCAGGAACCTCATAGAGCACATGGTTCAGATCATCAGGTTGAGATGTAGAAACCTTAATGACTGTATCTGTTTAGTTGCACTGTATTTTAATAAAATCAGATTTCTTGGCTTCACGTAATTTGGGGATTCTAAAGTCTAAAGGCTTTGTAATTCAGACAGTGGGAGTGAGTGCTGTGTGTGTGAGTGTGTGTGTGTGTGTGTGTGTGTGAGATGAGAGAGAGAGAGAGAGAGAGAGAGGCGGGGACACTGGAGAGTGTATGGTGTGAGTGCACTTGCTGTGGCTCGTGCACTCCATCCTGAAAGTCCTCGTCATCAATGCTGAGGAAAGAAACAAGAGTTTATTCAGGCCGCGCTACAATAAGCCTGTAGGTCCGAGCGCTGGATTAACAGGAAGAGGAATGCGCATCATTCAGAGGCAAACGAGTGTAAGTAATTGGGCCGATCGCAGAGTTTGGTGGCTGAATGCGATGCAGATGGTGCGGTTCCTCGCTTAAAGGCGGCCTTATGTTTTAAAGCCTGTACTAATTGGACGCATAATAGCGATGGAAATAGCTGAGGCTAGTAACAGCTTCCCAACTTTGCTGGGTCCTGCTTTGTGCTGATTGGCTGCTGATTTGTGGAGTCGTTGGGTATGCTTTGTGTGTTGAAGTATAGAGTGATGTATTGCCGTTTATATTTATATATGATTATATATATTATAGTTCTTGCCACATGAAACTATTATTTGGTGTATACACACATATAAACACAAGCATATATACATATATTTACACACACACACACACACACATATGTACATATACATATGTATACAGAACACACCTATATACAGGCATATGACATCCACATTTAACTCCACGCTCGAGCCTGCGCTAGTATGTGTGTGTGCGCGCGCGTGTGTATGTGTGTGTGTGTGAGAGAGAGAGAGAGCATCTCGCACGCCAGCAAGTGCGGCGGCACCACGTGACCCAGCACGACGGCGGCGTGCGGCGCGCGCGCGGCCCCTTTAAGAACGCTGGCGGGTTAGTTTCTGTCTTTGGTTATCTAGCTGTATGAGTTTATGAAATATCATAAAGCTAGAGAACCGAATGTAGAAACTGAGCCCACGCGCTTCACGACAGATCCACGGCGGAGCACGAGGCTCACGGGGGGCTGCGCGAGCCGCTTCAGGCTCGGGCTCGGTACGGACACCGAGCAGCACGAGGAGGACTTGAGGGGGGTTCCGCTCATCATCACAGTCAACATCATCATCATCATCATTAGAGCTCGTGCATCTCGTGCATTTACTCCACCCGCACGCATGGTATTTGAAAACGTACGCAGGCTGCGATGCGAGAAGCCTTTTCTTCTGGCACCATGCAGGTGGCGCGCGTTCACGACGGTCGTGCACTTGCATATGTGGTCCTTATAGCGGGCTGATAGCTGTTTATACTGTAGTCACGTATTTTGTGCATCAGTCTTTTGTGTGGTTTGTTGCCTCAGTTGCGTCGTCGCACTGAAACGGTTAACGAAGGCGCGCGGCCCGATTGGTGCGCGGCTCGCGTGTCACGTGGGTTTGAGGAGCGGCGTGTTGTTTCGCGCAACGTTCACATCCAGCGCGATCATGGCCTGTCAGGAAGCAGAATGAGTGGCTTTATGGCAGCGGTCAGTCAGCAGTGCTGAATGGACAGCGACTGCGACTGAATGTCAGCGGTGCTGTTGAGGCCCAGTTTTGGTTGGGATTGGGTGGCTGCTGATGCCTCGTATTCATTCCCATCGTTGTAAAGAGAGTGTCCTGTTGACCAATGACATTTTGCAATGGTCGGTTGCAGTGATCCACTCTACTTCTTTGGGTTATCTATTTTCTTCATTTGCTGTCTTTACAGGTGACTGGGGGCACTTTAAGTAGCTCTTGTTTATCCCAGTGTCTGCTGATGTTTAGTTGAGTATTCTTTCTAACAGAACAAAAGAAAACAGTCTTGTGAAGTTAAATAAAAGGATGCCTGTATAATTTAGGGCCTGGAACTCAAGTTTGCTATCACAAAACCTTGCATCTCCATATTTGTAGTTTTCCATTTTTTGGCATAATTTGAAAATACCAGCAGCTCTTTACTTTGCATTAACATTTCACGATAAACGGACCTTTACATATGCTTCAAAATTACTTGGAATAATATCCGGCTTCATTAACTTCCTTTAAAAGTTACGTTTGTTTTCTTCTCCTGTGAAGATTTGGAGATATGAGATTTTCTGTTGCATCTGGTGCATATAGTGTATGGTCACTCACTATGAACAGTCATTTCACAGCATTTCTCCACACTTAGTAAAAGAACACAACTCCCATTAACTAATGGGAGCTAATGGGCAGGTGCTGAAGCTTCTCCCATTGGCATCTATTACAAATGTGTTTTGAGTCAATGTTTTCTTTTGCTAGGTACATGGAAACACATGAAAATAACTGTCTGTGGTCATATGACTATCAGTACTCCTGTAACACAATGTCCCATATTATTTTGTCTCAGAATACCTGAATCTACACTGTGTCAACATTTATAGGCAAATGTCTCGGACATACGAAGCTTCAGGTGTGGTAAGATGTTTCAGTGGACTGCACTGCATACAAGTCCATAGCTGTCTTGTGCATAGTGTATGAAGGACAATTAACTCATCTGCAGCATCATTTTTGTCAATGCATGTAGTGAATGCATTGCACTCTATTCTACCGGCTAACATGCACACTTACAGACATTTACAGACATAGCTTTATATGTTTACACTCCTGAGAACAAGAAGTGCCTACAGTAAGACTCGGTATTAAACGCAAGCTGACAATGGGAGTGTGAGTGAGACAATATAGCTCATGCTTTTTGTTGTGAAAGCTAATATTAGATTGTTATCCGAACGTGCAAATTTGCCGAGGCTATTTTCATAACAGCTTTTGCGTGGAATCAAACACATTTTATTTAGATTTTGCAGTTTTGGGATCAGAGGCACATTTAAGTTGTGATTATTCATGTCTTGAATGTATTGCATTGTATTCTAGCATTAAAAGAGCATAGTCCATTTTATCTGAGCTATCATCACATGGTGAACTGTATTTATTTATTTATTTATTTATTTAACATTGTAGGTTCAGATGTGATTCTTGAGATGTTGGTATATTATCACTGGATGTGATTTGACTGCTTTGGACTTGTTCTGTTGTTCAGTTGGAAATGTCCTTGATGGCAGCATATTGACAGTGTCACTGGAAACAGTGTTTGTTTTGTGATATACTGGTTTCTGTATTAGGTTTTTGGTCAATGCTTTAAAAACCCTTTAGCTACCTGTCTTATAAAATGTCAGCTTCTGTCTGGTCACTCCTTAAAATCTCTTACAGATCCTCAATTATTCTGCTTATGTAAATTTAACATGAATATTGTGGACTATGTTGGGAATAAAATTAGGCTTATTTTAAATATGAAACCTATCACCTGTAATCTATACAAATCTTTGCTGTCTTTTAATATAAAATCATATTTTTCATCATTTTTAAATATGGCAAATGGGCCACGATCATCAATATGAATTGTATATTATTCAGTAACACTGATGTATTTTCTTCCTAAATTTGAGAAATATTATCCTGGAAAAAAGGGAAAGTTTTACAAAGTATCAATGGCCTTTCTTTACATTATATCCATATTAATGCTGTTTTCTCTCACTATTTTAGTGTGTGCCTAAATGGAGTAAGACCTCCCATCATCTGCTTCATGATGTCCAGCACTGCCCTGCACTATCCAGTACTGTCCAGCACTCAAGAATAAACCACACAGCAGGTAAAAACAATCTGCATCAATACTGTTACAATATGAAAAATGCATTCTTAAAAATAAAGGTTCATAAACATTTCTTGGCTTGGACACACGGCTCCAGTAAAAACCTTTACCTGGTACAGAACCTATACATAATGTGAAACTTTAAAAGGTTCTTCACACTCTCAATCATTTACAAAAACGATTCTTTAGGGAACCAAAAAAAAACATAAAGAACCTTTTATGACTCCTTTATTTTTAAGAGTGCACTAGTAAACAGAACCATATGTAAAATACATTACTCAGTGTTAGGTGTATGCAGAATAAGCAATAAAGGGCTGAATTCTTCTCACAGCATGTTTTGAATTCATTGTTTTTGTGATGTCACAAAAACCAAACACCATGCAAAATGTTTACAAAACATACTGGAAAAAAGATAAAACACAAAATATGACCTCTGCAAAAGCTGAATACTGTTCTATTTATTCATTTATTCATTCATTCATTCATTCAGTATGTTAAACACAGTAAATAATTAGAAATCATGTACTACCATTTGCAGAAAAATGCCATATTTAAGTTTGTTTATTGTACTGGATGGTACACTTATTGGACTGGATAAGTTCGCATATTTTCACTTAAAAAATCAACAAAACATGCACTTGACCAGGGGTGTTCAAACTTTTGCATATAACTGTTTATCTGCCTTTTCAGTGTACAGTAGTTTAGCCCCACCCATTCACACTGACCTTATAAGGAGTGTGTCAGCTTGTACTGCTTTTTGAATGAGGCACAATAGAAAGCAGCCAGTAAGAACAGAGGTCATTTACATATATCAGTACTTAAAGGCACAGTAACAAAAACAACCTATTTAATTCTAAGGGATAAAGAGAGGTTAGAACACTATCATGTAGCAATGAAGCATAACTGTTCTTAAACTACACAAATACCATAAAAGGATAATAAAATACAAGTAATATGCAGGATATGAGCCTTAAGATTAAGATTTTGTGTATTAGTTATTTGTTCACCTTAACAAAGCATTTTGAAGCAAACAACATCTGTTTGACCAAAATGACATGGTGGTTTGAGTTTGTATTGTGTGTACGTGCCTAAACAGAACTCAGAGACCCCCCGCCCCCCCCGTCCATGATTGGTCCACATTGCCTGCGTCACTGCACAGAGTGGACTTGTAGGCGCTGAGTGTTAGAAAGATATAAACCAAAACTGTTTTAAGTGTTACGACAACAATCAAACCTCTGTCAAGTTGTTGAGTTTGTTTAGGTTACACTGGAAAAAAATCAGTAGTGCTTCAGCAATTTACTGTTTATTTACAGTACTCATACTGTACTGTAAAATTACAGCAGCATACTGCATTTCTAAATACAGCTCATTACTGTATTTGTACAGTTTGTTTCCCTGTAAACCTACACACAAACACAACAAATATAGCTAGCTTCTGGTAGCAAATGCTTGAATGTTCATGTACACTGATACATAGTTAAGACAACAATGGGCCTCACTCACCAACGTTCTTAAGAAGAAATGTCTTCTTAAAACCCACTTACGCAGTTTTTTATTCTGATTCTGACATTCATCAATGTTGACTTACTTGGGATTAGTTCTGACACACACTCAAGAACACAAATGTGCTAGCAGTTCTGCGGTTTAAGAACACATCATGAATCTGATGTAGACTATATCTTAGGACCTTTCTCAAAAACAAATTTAAGAAACAAACCTAGGAAAAAATTAGTGAATGAGTTTGAATGCTATTGTTTGTAATATCGGGACATCACATTATGGCAGTAACAGGCACTTATGCCAGTCACTAAGATTACAGAGATGGCTCTAATGAAATATCTATTCATTATAACATTTTGAAATTAACTTCTTAACTGAAACACAAAACAGTATCATGGTTAGAATGCCAAAGCATGTAAAATGCATTCAAATGTATCACAGGGGGAGGAACAATACGTTAAAACAAAAACGGGAAATGAAATGTTGATGAAAAAATCAAAACAAATTAACAAAAACTAACAAAAACGCATCAAAACCCCATCACTACAACATTCAGAGACAGGCTGCACAAACTACTGGTCACTTTCACAATATGCCAATATGTCCAACATTTTACGTCCTTTGACAAGAAGTATGACCTGTATCTCCCAGAATGCACCACGTTTACAACAATCTGCTGTATTTAAGCAACACAGTAGAGAATATGTATTTAAGGAATACAGTACAGAATACAGGATACTGTAGTGTTTCCACTGCAAATTTACACCAGTTTTTACAGAGCAGTTTGTCGTTTAAAGTGTACTGCCAGCTAAAGGCTTATTAGGTTTTTAAATGGAAAACAATGCAAACTATCTAAAAACCTAGTTATTCTTAAGTTTGAACCAATTTAGGGGTTAAACTTTATATAAAAAGAGTTCACACCCACACAAATGGTTCTACTGAATTCAAAAGTACACTCTTAAAAAAGATGGTTCTTCAAGGGTTCTTTAGTCAAGACAATGGTTCTATAAAGAAGGTTGATGGAGAATGTGTTGTATCTGGTTCTATATAGAACCTTTGTAAAATTGTTGTGTATAGCACCAAAAAGGGTTCTACTATTGTTACAATGTCAAACTTGTAACAACTGAAGAACCCTTTTTAGTGCTATACAGAACCATATACAACACATTCTCCATCAATCTGAAGAACGATTTCACCATGTACAGAACCATCAGAACCATTTTGGTCTCTTTATTTTTACGAGTGTATGTTAAAAGTGCACATAACTACGATGTTGCAGTTTTTTCCATTATCATATGTAAAACAGAAAATCTCCTTGCCAACAGTATAAATTCAGCTAGAGAAAAGTTTATGCACAGCTTACACTGCATGGCTAATTCCATCCCTTTATTATCTTTTAAATATAAAAAAAAATGATGTAGAATGCCAGGGCAGAGATTTTATAGATTGAACATCACTATCAGAACAAAACCATGCCTTGAAAATGATTTTACAGAAGAAAGAAAAACTCTTTATTAACTTTTGATACAAGTTCAAGTAAAAATGTTTCATTCCAAGTGATTTTGGACCATTTCTATTGGCCCATTCATCAAGAAAAGTTCATACAATGTAAAGGGTAGCTGGCATGCTGAAACCTTATTTAAAAAAACAACAACAAAAATGGAGATACAAAGGTAAATCCCAACAACGACAATATGCAGAATGGGAATACAAAATCAGACTCCAAAATAGGGTCAGATTTTACCCTAAAGCTTCATTCATAGGCTCAGCAGCTGTTTAAGTAGTAGAGCTGGCTGAGGAAGGCCTTCAACTGGACAAGAATTTCCAAACTACATCAGAAAAATCTCCACGATGACTGTCTAAAAATAGCACAAACAAACTCTTTGCACAGTTTATAATTAAATCCCTTTATGATGTACTATAATACCACTGTTTAGCTTTAATAATGTTTTGTGGTGAAGCAGTGAGGATACAGGACTGGATGCGCTCTGTAAAGTTGTGGATGGTGGCAGTTTTCAACAAGACTCTCAACATCCATAAAGTTTATTTGGTGGAATTAATGCTTGTGTTATGTTTCGGATCCTGGAGATTCTTAGTCGACTTTCACAGCCTGAAATTACGCTTAACATTGTTAACTGTATTGCTTGCTACTTAATGTTTTTGAAATTTTATGAGAAGTTTATTTAAACATGATCTGACCAGACATTTCCAACAAGACTTCCACTGAACATAATAAAGCTTCTGCAAAAAAACAAACAAAATAAATACATGTATTCAAGTAAAAGAAATACAGCATCTAAGCCATGTATATCACTGCTGTCAGAACAAAACCTTGTATCTCCAAAAAGGTAACTTTACAGGACAAGGAAAAACGTTCTTAACTTTTAATGGAAAAAAATGGATAAATAATTTCTTCCAAGTAATTTTGAACCATTTCTGTTGGTCTGTTGATCATGAAATTTTGACACCTCATAAAGGACAACTTTTCAATTTATGTAAAAAAAATGAAAAACAGCAAGAGATACGAGGTTTTGTCCCGAAAGCAGCGATATGTGGTTATTTAGTGTAATAACAAGTGCCAGTCTTTTCCTGCCTATTATGTTTTAATTAGTTCAAAAAAGGTAAAAAACTAAAGGGCCAAAAAGATTCATTTTTATTACTTTTTATTATTATTATTATTATTATTATTATTATTATTAGTATTATCATTATTATACATTCTTCATTAGGGGCTCAAACAATGTGAAAATAATAGCAATCTCAGTCATACATAAGGGTTAATGGTTCATGAAAATATACAGACATATTATATGTAATGCAAGTGTAGTTTTACATGAAGATGCCACAGAAGAACCACTTTTGGTTCTCTAAACAACATCGAATGATGTTTCTTTAAAGATTCATTTTTGGAAATCAGATGTGTGAAGGTAAAGAGTCTTTTTGCTGTTTACACACATAACGTAAAGGTTATATACCAATTACAGGTCTTTTCGAGAACCATACATCCAAGCCAAGAACCATTTAAGAGCTTTTATTTTTAAGACTATGCAGACTGTGAACACTAAATCCGACACCGAAGCAGTCAGATTTTACACTAGTGAAAGTTTACCCAGAAGCTCAGCAGTTCTTTGAGTAGCTGAACTGGCTGAGGAAGGCCTTTGACTGGCTAACACTTTCTCCCAAGCTTTGGCCATTTGTATGCACACAACACTCTGCTGCGCTGTTCTCATAAGTTGATTTAAATTATGCCCTCCACATTATGCAGCGTGATAGGAAATAAATCTCTCTAAATGAATTTGGTGAATGGGGAAGAGGCTGGGGTGCTGACAGAATAACACAAGCAGGCTAATTCCAGCTCACACGAGCTTTGCTTTATTCTTTCTTAGTTATTTCACACTTTTTGAAGTATACACAAAAATGCATATTGCTAAACTAGGTGTGTTTCAAAACTTGAAAGTTTCAGTTTTTTACAAACAAATTGAAAAGAAAAATAAACTACA